GAAATTCTTCCTGGGGAAGCCATTCCTTGTCATCTTCTTTGTTCAAGCAGCCATGTGCTTGGAGATATCTTTGCTAGTGATTGGTTGAGGAGTGGTCTAGTACTGGCTAAGAAGACAGAAGAAGAGCATTTGAAAGGAGCTTCTTTTATCCCTGAAAAAAAGAAATGAATGGTAAGTGCTTCCTCTCATGTCTTCCCCTTTCCTCTTGTTTGGGATACTGTTGTGTGAGGATGTAATGTTTGAAGTTGTAGCAGCCACTAGTAACTGAGACAAAGGTAAAGAAAAGTACAGAGATTTCGATCCAGTGTGCTGATACTAGTGAGAATACCACCTTCCAACTTCCTATTATACGAGGCAATTAAATGACTTTGCTTAAGGAACAATTGGTTGGATTTTCTGACATTGGCTGCTGAAGATTTTATTTTTATTTTTTTGGAACTGGGGATTGAACCCAGAGGGGCTTAACCATTGAGCCACATCCCCAGCCCCCCTTTTATATTTTTAGAGATAGGGTCTTGCTGAGTTGCTTAGGGGCCTCCCTAAATTGCCGAGGCTGGCTTTGAACTTGCAATCCTCCTGCATCAGCCTCCAGAGCTGCTGGGATTACAGGTGTGCACCTGTAATTACCGTGCCTAGCCCTAAGGCATTCTTAACTGATAAATTTTGTGAGTAAGCTTTTTATTTTGAGGTAATTATGTAATCTGTGCATTTTTATGAGATTGCAAGTCACAGAATATCCAGACGATGGTGCGCAGAGCAATCTGCAGTTTTCCTTCTAGAGGCCATACCATGCCCATCTCCAGTGGGCCTCAGGGAGCTTCCCCTTCCATCCTTACCTCTCAGTCCTCTGACCTCTTGACCTTCTCTTATCAAAGAAGGAAGGTCTTCCTCCTCCGTGCTTCTGCTTCAGGCTCTTGGTCCTCAGGTCCATCTGCTGTCTCACTCATGGGAGCTAGGGAGAGGAAGATTCAGATCCTAGACTATCTTAGCAACACACAGAAAAGGTATTGTAGAAAAATTTTGTAGAAAAATTGAAAGTCGGTTTAGTAACAACCCTGGTCAGGACCACACAGTTAATAACAGAAGAGCCCTTAGCCAGGTCTTCCCAAACTCACCATCTTTACACTTCAACACCTGGCCTCCCTGGGGCTTTAATAATGCCATTTGAAGCAGGTGGCAGTGCCCTATTGCTTTGGGTGGTAGCTGTGAACATGCACTCTTGGGTCTCCTCCTGCGGGGAGTAACCAATGAGGCCCAGCTGCTGTGGCCTCGCTTCCTACGGCTGCATCTCACCACGCATTGAGCACAGCAGGGACACTGAGGCAGGACCCTGCTGGTGAGATCAGTCTCCTCCTCCTCCAACTGTAGCTGCAGGATTCCCTATTGGCTGAGTCTGAGGCTCTGACCACCCAACACTTCTTCCTTCCCTCTTCCTCCCAGCGGTCAGACTCACACTGAGGTCCAACAGTTCCCTCCTCCTCTGGCTCCCTTCCCTTTTCCCTTCACAGATGTTTTCCCCAATAAATCTCTTGCAAATCTAATCCTGTCTTGGGGGCTGGCTTCTTAGAGGACCTGAACTAATGTGCTTTGGTTTTTTAAATCCCCAAGTCAACCTGGTAACCTGTATATAAAGCACCTGGCATGGACTGGTGTGGGAGTAACAATGTCCATGCTTTGAGACTGTTCCTATCACCAGTGGGAGCCAGACAGACCACCCTGTGACTGGGGGAATATGTGCACACCTGGAAACCTATATATTCTGAGGTTCAGAGAGGCTGAGGAACATACCTGTGGGCACAGCGCTCAGGCCCAAGTGCCCACAAACATGGATGCACAGAATGGGGAGACAGAGGCAGGGTGGAGAGACACAGGGTCAGGATGCGGTATGGGGCAGGCAAAGGGCATAGGAAAGCAGCCCCTTCCTGCCCCTTCCTGTTGACTTCCCACAGTTGGTCTGTGTGTTTTGGTGTCTTGGCAACTGGCTGCGAGGGCTGGAAAGTGAAGCTAAACCTTAGGATACTGTGGGCAGCTAGACAGGCCTAGACAATCCCAGGTTCATGACCTCTCAGCCTCCTAGCCTCACTCCAGCCTGCAAGACAGCAGTCAGTCCAGCCAAGCCCTCAGCCATTGGGAAATGCCTTTCTTGGCTCCGTCTCACCGTCTGTGAAGCCCATTGGGCTCACCCTTGCCCATATTAGCGCTGATTCTGGAATGCTCTCTTCTCTGCTTCTATTTGTCTCAATTCTCTCCAACTCTCAAGCCAAATTCCAGTCTCACCTACTCATGGAAGGCTTCCCTGATCTCTCCAGTCCACAGAGGCCCTTTCTTCCTCTGGACTCGTCTAGCAATCACTGCATTGTCTGGAGCATTTGGACTTAGGCCCCACTCAGTGCAACAAGCTTCTAATACGTGTTAGACACTGTGCTCAGAGCCACATGCTTATCCAGGTACTTGGGCTGAGGCTCTGTAGACTCAGGGGAGCAGTGGATGGTTCAGCAGCTGGGGCTTCTTCATCGGGAGAGATTCTCATCCACTTCCACGCTAGGCAGGATGGAGGATGTGAGTGGCAGCTTCTGGGAGACTTGGATTCTGAGTCCAGGCAGGTCACTGGGTCTCATTTTTCTCAGCTATAAAATGAAGATGATAGTGTCTACCTCCCAGGCTTGTTCTGAGGACAAGCACATGTAAGGTAATGCATGTGAGGTAACTAACACAGTGACTGGTGGGGTAGTTCCTGACCTTTCTCCCCACCGGCACCTACCCTGGAGTCTCTCTGTGTAAAAGCACTGTGTTCCCACACTGCTCAAAGCACTCACTGTCTTGAATCTAAGTTAAAGAGGTCTTCTGGAAGCTCGCTGTCCGGTGCTTTCTGCACTTGTTCCATTTCATCTGATATCAGAGAAGTTCAGAGAAGTCGAGGCCCACCCAGGTCCCAGAGCTAGTGAATACTGGAGCTGGCTCAGCTTTAAGCTGAGATGTAAGACAGACCCCGAGTGCACAGGGAGCTCTTGGGCGAGAGGCCCTGAGACTGTGAAGAGTCAGTTTTGTCCAATGAATCCTACAAACAGTATAATGCCATCCCAGTCACAACATGGGCTTGTTTTTCGGTGAAATTTAATAAGCCACTTCTAAAACTAATCAGGAAAAATAAATTGTCAGCTGGGCGCAGTGGTGCATGCCTGTAATCCCAGAGGAGATTGAGACAGGGAGGTTGAGACAGGGAGGTTGAGACAGGGAGGTTGAGACAGGAGGATGGTAAGTTCAAAGCCATCCTCAGCAATGGTGAGGTGCTAAACAACACAGTGAGACTCTGTCTCTAAATAAAATACAAAATAGGGCTGGGGATGTGGCTCAGTGGTTGAGTGCCCCTAGGTTCAATCCTTGGTACTGCCCCCCCCCAAAAGAAGGAAAAACAACTGTCAGAATAGCCAAGAAATATTTGAAAAAGTACAATCAGGATAGACGTGCCCTATCAGATACCAAAACAGTATCAGGCAGTATTAATGGAAATTAGTACTAGTTAAAATTAGCGCTGGAGAATGAATGGCACAGACTTGAATGTTATAAAAAGGGCTCTCTCCTGGGCACCACAGAGCACACCTGCAATCCCAGCTATTGGGGAGGGAATAGCCAAGACAGGACGATGGCAAGTTTTAGACTAACCGGGGAAAAAAAGTGAGATGCTGACTCAAAATAAAAGATAAAAAGGGCTGGGATGTAGCTCAGTGGCTTAGTGCTAGAGTTTCCGGGTTCAATCCCCAGTACTGGGGAAAAAGAAGTTTTCTTGTATATAAAGGAATTCAGTATATGATAAACTAGCATCTAAAGGTAATAAGACAAAATTTCAATTATAAGATGAATAAATTCTGGAGATTTACAGCATAGTGGCTATAATTAACAATACTGGATTATATATTTGCCATTTGCTAAGAGAGTAGAATTTTTTTTCTGGTACTGGGGATTGAATCCACGGGTGCTTTACAACTGGGCTACATCCCACAGTTCTTTGTCTTTTTTTAAATTATGAGATAGGATCTTACTAAGTTGATTAGGGCCTCACTAAGCAGCTGAGGCTGGTCTTTAATTTGTGATCCTCATGCCTCAGTTTCCCAAGTCACTGGGATTACAAGTGTGTGCCTCTGCACCCAGTGAGAGAGTGGACTTTAGGTGTTCTCAACACACACACACACACACACACACACACACACAGAGGTAACTATGTGAGATGATGAATGTACTAATTAACTTGATTGTAATAATCATTTTACAATGTAATGTATATCAAATCATCACATTGTATACCTTAAACATAGAATTTTAATTTGTCAATTATACCTCAATAAAGCGGGGGGGGGGGGAGTAGGGAAAGATGAACTTTCAATAAATACTGTAGCCACAATTGGTTATCTTTGTGGAAAAAGACATAAATTTAGATTCCTGCTTCACACCATTCACTAAAATAAATTCCAGATGGATTAGAGAGCAAAATGTAAAAAACAAAGCTATAAAACTATTAAAAGAAAATATAGGATAATTTATTTGTAACCTTGGGGTAGGAAAGACTTTCTTTAGCAAGACATAAAACACAGAAACCATAAAGGAAAAGATTTGATTATATCTAAATTTAATACTGCTATATGACAAAAGTCACCATAAATACTATTAAAAGACGAGTGACAGACTGAAATAAGGTCTCCACAACGTAGGCAACAGAAAAGGATTAATGTTCAGGATCTATAATGAATTCCTACAAATAACAAGTAAGATATAAAACAATCTAAAAGAAAAAAAATGAGGGACAGGAACTGATGGTTCACCTAGGAGAAATAGGAAATAACCAATAAGCACATGAAAACATGCCCAGCCTCACTAGTAATCAAAGAAATGAAGCCAGGCATGGTGGTGCACACCTCTAATCCCAACAGCTCAGGAGGCTGAGGCAGGAGGATCCTGAGTTGAAAGTCAGCCTCAGCAACTTAAGGAGGCCCTAAGCAACTCATTGAGATCCTGCTCTAAATAAAACAAACAAACAAAAAATGGGCTGGGAATGTGGCTCAGTGGTTAAGCACCCCTGGGTTCAATCCCCAGATCCCCCAAAAATAAAAAGTAAATTCAAACAACACTGAGTTAATATTTTATACCTATCAGATGTGCAAAATTTTAAAAAAGATTTATTATAGCCAGTGTTGGGAAGAATCTAAGGATAATGAACACCTTTATTGCTGGTGGTAAGACTGGAAATCCTTGCGGTATTTGTAGAGCACAATCTGGCAATGCTTATTAAAATATAAAATGCCCAAACCCTTCACGGGAGCAATTCCAAGTCCCTGCCTGGAGAAATGCTCCAAATGTATTGGGGGGGGGGGCATGCTGGTGGTGGAAATGGGAACAATTAGAAACAGTGAAAATGCTCATTGGTAGAGAAAGGGCTAAAACATCTTTGAGTGTGTATACTGGTAATGGTTTTCTGAGATCTAAACAAATGAGGCAGCCCTCTACATCCTGAAATGAAAAGGTTTCATTACAAGACAAAAGCAGGTCCTAAAACAATATGGCTCTGTGTATATAAACATGAATGCACGCTTCAGAACTGTGTTTACATAAACATAGATGCACACTTCAAAAATATTCTGGAAGTGTATATACTAAACTGACAATCCCAAGGGAGGGGAGGGGAATCGTATGGGAGCTGGGGGGTCTTTATCTGAATTATTTAATTTTTTTGCATGAGAATGTATACATGCATTACTTAGGTGAGAATACAATTAAAATTTCTAGAAAAACCAACTGTGACTCATTGTGCAGAGACTTATGCCCCTAGTTTCCAAGCCCGACTCATTGCCGCTGCCCTGGGCCAGTTGTTTAGATTCCATGCCTGTTTCCTGACCGCACATGTCCCTGAGCCCCGGCCATCTCCACTATATTAAGCTCTTAGTCTGAGTTCTTGACCTGTGCCATTTACCATCTTGAATTCTGGTGCTTATCATGGGTCAGGAAAAAATGGGAATCAGGCATGGTCATAGCCCCAGGAGAACACATGATTCAGTAAAATAAGAGCTTCACAAAAGATTTGGTTGGAAAAAGCAAGGAGGTCTTCCTAGGGGTGGTGGCATTTAATCTGGAGTTGAAAGATGGATCATTATTATTCTAACTCATCTTCCTGTTTATGTTAAAAACCACCATTTTTGAATAACAAAGAAAATAACATCACCCATAGCCTAACCCAACAATTTCTGTGAATTTCCTTCAATTCTTTGTCTACAAGGCCCATGTCATTTAAGTATGTAATGCAAATAATGCGTTTGAATATTTTTTTTAAAAAAATGTTATATCATGATCCTTTTTGACATTACTAAGTGTCATAATGGCTGATTTTCATGTTGAATGCAGTGGTGCATGCCTGTAATCACAGCTTCTTGGGAGGCTGAGGCAGGAGGATCTTGAGTTTGAGGCCAGCCTGGGTGACTTAGTATGACTTGGTTTCAAAATAAATACTAAAAAGGGCTGGGGATGTAGCTCACTGGTAGAGTCCCTGGGCTCAATCTCTGGTACTGAAAAGTACTACTAATAATAATGATAGTCAACTTTTAATGGTTGTGCATTATGTCATCCAGTGAATAGAAGACTATATGACCTATGACATAAGCAACCATTTCCTGTTGTTTGTTGTTTAGGTTGTTTCTTATTACTAATGCTGCAGGGAACATCTTTGAGCCTGTAGGGTTTTTTGTTTTTTTTTTTTTTTCAATTTATTTTTTTCATCATCCTTTTGGGTTATTTCCTTGGAACAAATAAATTCTCAGAAGTGGAAATACTGGGTTAAAATTTATTTACACTTTTATGGCCCTTGAATCATGTTGCCAAATTGCTTCTTAAAGTGTAGTTCTAGAATACACTGAGGGCTTTGTTAGGCAAATATGAGAGGCTAGGAATTGGATGGGGGGGGGTCCCAAGTCCAGGAAAAAGCGTGCATAAAGGTGCATTGACCAGGACAGATTTCTGCAGTTTATCCCATCAATGCCGTGATATGACCAGGATGTAGAATTGTATGGCAGTTTCTATTGGTTGACAAACTAAGAATCTCAATTTCCTTTGTTGTTATTCTCCCACTGCAGAAGGTAAAAGACAGATAATCTCTTTCTCAGCTTCTTTTGCATCTAAAAGAATCAATGTGACTCCATTCTGGGATCTGGAAGGAACTCCCTTCCTTCCATCCACTCCTCCTTCCTTCCTTCCTTTTTAACAAATTTATTAAATTTTTCACCTGGGAAGTTGAAGGTTTTTGGTGTCTTGGTTAAAGGGGAAAATGTCTTCTCTCCTTCCTGCCCTGAATGTAGATATAATGCCTGGAGCTGCAGCAGCCACATTAAGTCTATAAAGTCGGATGAACAGGAGGATAAAAAGCCAACACACACATAAGGGGAACAGGAAGAAAAGACAGAAAGAAACTGAGTCCTTGATGGCATCCCTGGAGCAGCTGAATCAACACCACTAACCACATACCTCTATCTTCTTATGTGGGAAAAATAAACCCTTATTTGATTAAACCATTGTTATATTTTTCTATTATTTCCTGTCAAAAGCATCCTAACAGATACAGGACTCACTACCATACCTGGTCTCTCTCATGTAGCACCCGGTATGCAGACTCCTGTGCAGTTAAACACGAGTTTAATCCTGTCTCTTGGGCCTGGGGACATGGACCTCTGCAGCCAGGCTTTCGGCCGACTGCCCACTTACCCTCTGGATAGAATCCTCTTCCTGGCTCTGCATGCTCCCAACAGATCTCAAAGTCTGAGATCTGCTCCTATAGTCCCTGAGCCCCATCTGTTTTCTCAAGAGCAGCCACCAGGCCATGATCTTGTGGTCAGGATACGCAGGTCACTGGCTGTCTTTGCGCTTAAGAGAATCTTGAGCCAAAAGTTCCAGATTCATTTCTGGCTGGTTCCTTTACCAGTTATTAACTGTGGTCAAATCACGTCACCTCTCTGAGCAACAGTTGCCTCATTTGTAAAATAGGGACAATTGGGGTTGTTTGTAAGATTTAGAGTTGCAACTCTGGTAATATGGTGTCTGTTATGGTTTGGATGTGAGGTGTCCCCCAAAAGCTCACGTGTGAGACAACACAAGAAGGTTCAGAGGAGAAAAGATGGGCTACAGCCTTAACCTAATCAGCAAATTAATCCCTGGTGGGATTAACTGAGTGGTAACTGGAGGCAGGTGAGGTGAGGCTGGAGGAAGTGACTCACTGGGGGCGTGGCTTTGGGGGTATATATTCTGTACCTTAGGGGTGGAGACTCTCTGCTTCCTGATCACTATGTGAGCTGCTTCCCTCCACCACATTCTCCTACCATGATGCTCAGCCTCACCTTGAGCCCCGAGGAATGGAGCCAGCCTTCTAAAGACTAAGATCTCTGAAACTGAGCCCTTAAATAAACTTTCCTCTTCTACGGTTGTTTTGGTCGGGTCCTTCAGTCGCAGCAGCGAAAAAGCTGACTGAAACAGTGTCCCACAAATGTCTTCCATCTGAAGACTCAGAGAGGGGCATCATGGAACCTATCTGGGGGGTGCTGTAGTATGTTGAGTCTCCATCAAGGTGCATTCCAGCAGCCACATGGCCTCTGTGGAGACCTGAAGCCAGGAGTGACAAGGTTCTTCTCCAGTCACTTGAAATGGAAATGACAGCCAAGGATTGTCCTGGGGCAGGTGACTCTCTGGGTCTGGGATTGGTCTGTTTACCATAGTCTGCTCTATAGGTCCCAGTGGAAAGTAGGAGCCTCTGTTTCTTGGCCATGGGGCCTGCAGGGCCTGCTGAGACCTCTGGAGCTGGTAGTGCTGTCCCCATACTCCCAGGGTAGAAATGGAGCTCTCTTGCTACCCCTTTGACAGACCAGAGTCAAGGTCAGCCTGCTCACTTTCCTCCCATGCAGTGTGCAGCTCAGGAAGGGAGCAGGCCCCAGGTCTCTCCTGCACATTCCCTGCTGAGAATTTGAGGACCAAAAATTTGTAAGGCCAAAATGAGAGCGTGGCTCAGTCAGAGGAGTTTTTCTTTGGCTGGCCATGCTTCTTTGAAAGCCCTTATCGAGGAATAAAGATGAAATCCACCAGAGGCTTAATGAATCATCTTACTTGGAAGGAACACAAATGTGAGCAACAGGGCCACCCTGGACACACGGAACAGAGCCAGGAGAGCTTTCCCCAGTAGCTGAGAGATGGCCACTGTCTTGAGCCCCAGGGCAGAAATGGAGAGAGGAAAAGGGCGGCCATGGGCGAAGTTACCTGCCTTGAACAAATTCTCCCAAGCCAGCAACCTTTCAACCATTTTAAAATTGAGTATAGCTGCACGCCAATTAGTGAAACCAGAAAGAAAAGATGGAAACAGATGCAGGGTGAAAATAAATCCGGGACCTCTGAGAAGAGTGATCAGAGGGCAGCTTGCTATGTCACTCACTATCCCCTGCCCCCAGTCCACCAGCAGCACAGGCCCTTCTCCTACCCCCCCACCATTTCCCCAGATTTCCTCATGTCATCACCCACCTCTTGCAGAACTCTCTTTAATAGTCGCCTGTGGCCTCCCGGAGTATAGGGGGCCACAACTCACTGCCCCCAACCTTCCTGATTCAACACCCTCTGAGAGAGCCCTGTGCTTCTTTGCATGCTAGTGCTCACTTTGCTCCTGTGTCCCTATCAAGGAGGGGCCCATCAGGGGCCACTTTGTCACTTGAGGCCGGCAGAAGACAAGGGGGTTAGTTCAAACCCTTGTTCTGCCCATCTGTGATCTCAGTCAAGGTATTTAATCCCCCTGAGCACGTATTTCCTCACCTATAATATGAGTCTGGTGCTCTCTACCTCTTAGGCCTAATCAGAGATGCAGAGCACCTATTTCCTTGTCTGGCACACAGTAGGCCATTGATAAATAGTGTCTATTAGCATATAAAAACCATTAAGACACATAAAAGCATAAGGGACAACAACATTAACAATGATTGGAGTAATTACCCCCCTCCTCCTTCCCCCAGGCAGAAGGAAGCCGGGGAGTGAGGACCGTGAGATCCCTCCAGCCCCAGGACCTGACTTCTGGTAGAGCCTTTCCTGTTGCTCTCTGGCAGATGGTCTCTGGCTCATTTCCACAAGGCGATTCAAACCCCTGGAGATGGCTCAGCCCTGTTTTCAGATAGGGAGCTACTCTTGCCTACTCCATAATAATCAGGGCTATAAGACCACTTCTTGGGGCTGCCACAGGAGCTACTCCGAGACACCTCAACCCTAGCAGCCCCATGAGTGACCCCTCCTCTGCTCTGCTTGGCTAAAGGAGACCCGAGCTTCTGTGTCCCCAGGGATGGTGCCTGTAGGCACTGCACCTCAGGAACCATGGCCACACCATGCACAGAAAGCCCCTTTTCTTCCCGCTCAGTGTCTGCCCTGTCTCCATGGGCCCCAGGCTGGGCAGGCTTAGCCTCTCAGCTGGATCTCCTTTTCCTCCCCCACCTCCTCCAGGTTGTTGGGCATGGAGGACCACAGGGGACCTTAATTTCTCCCGCTTCTAATCAGCACAGCTGGGAGAACCAGCAGGCAAGGGCAGGAAGAGGTGAAAGGCCACGGGCCTAATCTACAAGCCACCCAGTCACCAGAGCCTGGCTTCCCTACTAACAAGCCATGGAGCAAACAAATTATCTTTGTTGTTCCTGGGAAATCTGCAAGTACTTACCCGTGTAATTAGCATCTGTGCCTCGTGCCGGCAGTTCAGGTGAACAGGCCATGGCTGCGCGGTGCCAGGCCGCCTGTAATCAAAACCAAAGCGGCGGCCAGGGTGCTCTCTGGTGAGGACGATGTCAAACTCAATTGGGGCCTCACCTGGGACGGATTCCCTGGGAGCTCTGCGCACACGGAGGCGGCTTCGTAGCCAGAGGAAGAGGATGGGAGGAGGGGTAGCCCAGTCTTTTCTACAAACTTCCCTGGCTGTCCAAATCTGGGGCAGATGGAGGGCCTGAGGTGGGCCCCGGGGTCTGCATTTTAGGAAGCATTTTAAGTGATCCATGCACATCCAGAGTTTGGAAAACCCTGATATTCTAGCATCATCCCTAAGAGGGGTAATGTTGGTAAGGGCCTTGGACTGGTTGCCTATTAGGTCCTGCATCTACTAATGTTATTCTATTTAATGTTCACCATGTGTCTTTGAGAAAGGTGTGAATATAGACCCTTGATGGGTGAGGAAACTCAGGCTCAAAGACAGTAAATGCCTTGGTCAAAGTCACATGGTATCAGGACTGAGTCAAACCATCTCCAAATCCTATACTGGTCCCTTCTCCAGTTATGTCCCACTTGAAGCCACTTGTCCCGTGCAATGTTAAGTGGAGTCTCCCTGACGTTGAACACGGAGTGGCAGTTCTCTCTGTCACAAGGGAGCAGGAGGGGTGTCTTCTTCCTGCTCAAGCTGTTCTCAGCTTCCTGCTGAAAACACGGAATCATACACTGCTCCCTTTATTCCACTGAGCAGAACGCGGCACCCTACATGGAACAGGAAGAACAGGCTAGAAATGGGCAAACCATGCCCTAGGCCCTAGGACTGAGAGCAGAGGCTCAGCATGGGACCCAGGGAGGGAGGCACTCCTTGGTGACAGCAGGCGGCTGGCTGGCATTTGAAGAGAGAACAACTGGCTGAAGCAACCCTCCTTCATACAAGCAGCAGAGGTTGTTCTTAAATGAACCCTGAGCCAGCTTACGCTTGGCGGCTGAGGGTCAAGGGAAAACTCTGGAGCAGCCTGCATGGAGGGGGTGGGGTGCCGGAGGGAGAGGCAGCAGTTTGGACAGGCAATGTAAGATGTTGATTCTAGCCCGGACAGCACCAAGAGACTGGGTTTTCATCAGTTCCTCAGCGAAGAGGAAATTGGAAATTAATATCAAAATCCCACTGAGTAGCGTCCATAGTTTCCATATGTAATCATGCTTGGCTTAGCTAGGTAGTAAAATGTTTATGATTTTCTTTCCAAGGTTGAGTTTAGTCATTCTCAATGAACCATTTAGTTGGCTTCATAAAGTCCTGAATTAAAGAAGCCCTGTAGGTGATGCGAGAGATGGATGGGTACCTGGGCTGGGGCCTCACTGGCTGTTGAAGTCAAGGCCATGGCCCAGGGAACAAGCCATCCTTCCAGACAGCTGCTCTGACAAGACAAGGGTGCTGCACACCCCCATGGACCACTGGCTAGACAAAGAATCCTTGCAGGTATCTTATAAGGACCCCTCATGTTGTTTGTGAACCACATACAGAAACCCAAGTCGTCTGCTTCTCCCCAAATATACTTTTAGCACACTGAGGTTCACTGCACCTCCAGCCAATCCCTGGAGCCAGGGTGGGTTCACTGTGACTTGCTCTTCCTGAGCCATACAAGAAGGGGCAATAATGCTGCAGCCTCCTGCTCTCTGCCCCAAACTTCAGCTTACTCTACACTGGAAACTTAGAGTCAGGTTTAAAGACCAACCTGCAATCCTCTCCCCATCTGCTGGAGCCAGGGGCCAGTGAGGCAGTAGGCAGGCTGAGGGTCCCCAA